ATTAGTAAGCAGTGAGGTAACTAGGGTATGGCAAGAATGGCAGGTGCCATGGGCGCCAACTGAGGGAGGGTAAAAAAAAGCAAAAATAAAAATAATTTTTTTTTAATGATATTAAAAATGTGGATTAAAGACTGCAAAGGAAAAAGAAATATCCAAACAGCCAAAGGAACATTAATAATCATTATTTATAAAATTTTATTCCTTGATTTTTGAAAAATAGCTGTTAATCAGGGTTCTTGTTAAATTCTTTTGCTACCAGCTGTTTTGACAAAAAAAATTTTTGCAACAAACTATATATCAATAAAAAGCTATCTTCTTTTTTCCCAGTTTGATAATTAATCTAATTTGGGGCAAGAAAGCAGATTTAAACGATGGTGTAGAAGAGTCTAAGAAGGTAATTACTTTGGATACAGAAGCTGGAGTGATATGAAAGTCAGGAAAAGGACTAACCTGCTTGTCGACGATATCAGGTAAAACGCAACTAGTGTAATCAAGAAATAATATAGATGAGAAGTTCTTAGCAAACAATTTAGGTGAGGCTTGGTTTGGAATTGTCGAAAGGGAATAAAAGATTTCATGGAAGCCTGAATCCAAGAAGTTATGTAAGAAGTACATTGGTCAGCAGGAAGACAAAAGATTTCTACTCAAGGAAATTTATGGCCATCACGAAGAAAATCACAAAAAAAATCCCAGTAAGCTTTTAGGTAGTTATAATAGGTATGATGATAGGGGAATTCTGATGATGAAGAATGAGATAATAGTTTTAGAGAGATCAAACTATGATCAGAAGCACCTAAGAATAAATATGGAGAAACTGAGCACTGACAAGGATCAGAAACAAGACGTAAGTTGAGAAGATAAATGATTTTCCTAAAAATAATACAAAAATAGCAAAAATATCTTGTGTATGCCATAATATTTTAAGCATAATACTAAGTAGTGATGCAGGGATCCACAGAAAAAAATTTTTTCACCATATTTTGTTTTATGGACTCTTTAGAGCAGATGAGGCTCTTTGGCCATAGTGAAAACAACAAGGAAACCAAGGAAAAAGAAAACTCTGAAATAAAAAAAATTAATTGTGGCTAAGAATAGGAAAAATAAAACTAGTGGTTTTATCAAAAAAATTGTAACATAACAAGATTGTTGTTATTGACAAGAATTTTAGACCAAAAATAGTATTTTATATTTTTATTATACAAAGAATAATTAAAACTTTTTTTTATTTTTTAAAATTAGTGTTCACCATTTTTTCATAATTTGGTGTTTACAGATCGTTACCATCATTAAATGACAATGTTGATTTTTAAACTGATTTAAAATCAGTTTGAATACATCAAAAACTGCCTCATAACTGTTGTGTCATAACTGTTGTGTCATAAAAAAGCAATAAGCAATATCAAGCACTAAAACATGAAGATAGCATTACAAATCATAACCTGTCGCAAAAGATGTCCCAAATAATTGCAATATTCAATCATCAAGTTTAAATAACCATTTGTGCTAATGCACAATGGGGTAAAATTGATATTAGCTGGATAAAACTAATAAATTTTTTGAATATTCCCACTGCTAATCTAGGAGCACTGTTGGATTATTTATTGGTAAAGAAAAAATGCAGCAACTTTGCATTTATAAACTTAACTGATATTAATGCTATAGACCATCAAGATATATACATCAAAATATATTTGATGTTGTTACTCTGTTGCATGGCTTATTGCAAACATTAATTTAAAAATTTTTTAAAACTACTAAATACATAAAAAGTTGTATAATACATAATGTGTTCTTTTGACTTGTCAAGTAGTAATCACAATTACTACTTGACAAGTCAAAAGAACACATTATTCGTCTTCAAAAATTTTAACAACTTTTTAATTACAAATACTTTTTGTGATTCTTGTGTCTCTTCTTGTGTCTTGTGATTCTTTCTTCATTGAGCCTATAAGTTTTGTTTATATCTATTGATCTACAACATAACATAAGCAATGATTTATGTTTATATCTATTGATCTACAACATAACATAAGCAATGATTTATGTTTATATCTATTGATCTACAACATAACATAAGCAATTTATGCTTACAAAGCAGGGTGTGTGGCATGAAAAGTGACAAAAGAAATGTTTTACATTTTGTCTAACTGTTTAATAACAATATTATTTAAAGCGAAAAAAGTCCATTAAAAGGTGAGATTACTATGCACACAAGTGAGATTATTATGTACACAAAGTATGCAACATCTTAATCATATTTACATCAACTATTTATGCATGCATTCTGAAAAAATCTTTATTAATTGCAAAGTAATATTCTTTTTTATAAAGTTGAAATGAAAATTGATTTGAGTAGAGCTAGTAAATCTACTCAAATCAATTTTCATTTCATCTTATAACAAAGAATATTTTATTTATATTCTTAAACAATATTTTTTTTTTAAATGGTGTTCTTGAAACCAACTCTTCAACTTTTTAATTAGACACAGCTGATCAAAGAATAAAAGAAAAGAGTAAAAATCCAAATCGGAGACAAATTTGTGTTTAACTTTTTAGAAATTGTTTATTTTTACTGAATTGCAACAACAAACCAAATAACACTAAAAAAGATTGGGTTTCTGTAGATGATATTGTGGCATTTGTTTAATATTTAAATTTTTAATCCACTTTGAAAAAATTTCAACTGAACTGCTAAAAAACAAAGAAGCACTTTGTTTCGAAACTTCAAAGACTTCTTTTATAAAAAAAAAATTTTATTGGTCTGCAATACAGAGTTAATAATGGATATGGATATGACAAAAATTTTATTGGTCTGCAATACAGAGTTAATAATGGATATGGCAAAATAACCTTTCTTAATTACAATTGAACAAAAAAACAGTAGATTAATAATAAATCAGCATTCTGGAAGTAAATATTTTCTGGTTTAAATAGTTCCTTTGCTATTTTAGTTTAAAGACTATAGTCCTTTATGCGTGGTTACGACTATTTTCCATAAAAACATTTTTTTATTAATGTATCTTAATAAAAAGTTTTTTTTAATAACGAAATGCTCTATTTGGCATTAACGTATTTATGTACTATCATTTATTTAGCAGAATTTTTATTGCAATATCCAACATGACAACAGTGCAATTATCTAAAGTTCCTCTAATCCCTAACCACAATTGTGGGTTTTTAGATCAATTTTTTCCTTCTTCTAGATATGTTTGAAAAAAGGCCCTTAAACAATGTTATATGCAAGATAAAAAGTTGTGCACAATTAGAATTATATTTATACTGTGTCAACCCTTCTGTTGAACATATTTTTACAACCCATCTGTTGAACACATTTTTACAAATGAAAGATTATGGTGCAAGATTTTTAACAGAACTAGAAATATTTAAACAAAAAGATAAAAGTTATTATTTAATTTCTTAGTAGAAAAAGCAGAAGAAAAAAAAAGCATATTTAACTATGTGCTAATTAAATTTGTCATTTGACATTTGACTTTCTCAGTAACTTTTGCATCAAATAAAAGAACGTTGATTAAAACACATCTTAAACAAATACTGACAAAAGAATGAGATTGTTTTGGAAGTAGAAAATGAAATTGTTGACCCATTGGGTATAAAATAAAATAGCACATAATTTAAATAACCGGCGAATGAAAGCAAATAAAATTTAAATAAAATAACAAATAAAATTTTAGTTATAAGTTTACACAACTTTTTTTTTGTTAATGTAAAAAAATTGTCTTCAAATCATCTAGTTTTAATATTCTCTAAGTTTTAATATTCTTTTAGTAATAAATAATACATGGTTTTAGTAAAAAATAGGGGTTTTTCAAGGATATATTGATCTTTTCTTGACCAGAAAAAAACAAAATATATTGTCTTCAAAACATGTTTTATATATAAATATAAATGTTATAATATAGTAGTATATAGTATGGTACAAGTTAAAAAATATTTTATATTGTATATATACAAAGATACACTAGATTATAAAACACTTTTGTTTAATCTCTTTCTTAGATTATTCAAGGTTTTTTAGTGAAATATCAAGCTCTTAAATTGCCAGTTCTTTTTCTAGAATTGTGTTTCTAAAGGAATTTACTTTGGCAAGGATAGTGAAGTTTCCCTTTTCTTCTGCTTCAATGCTTAACTTGTCAGCATCAGTTTTGAGAAATATGATGCATTTTGCAAAAACAAAATACTATTTCTTTATAATTACAAATTCTTCAATTTCTGAATTTCAGAGTCAATACTTCCTTGTTTTAAATTATTGCATTCCTCTTAAAAGAATACTTCAATGGGCATCTTACTTGTAAATGTTGCTATAACATTATGATAATCTGCCTATATTCTTTCTATTATTCTAATTTCTCTTCTGGTTAACAATGAAGAGAACTTAGCATTTCAGTGTTGTTCCTATGTCAATATGGTCTACTTCTAGTTGGTTATTTGATTTCTCTACTTCAATCTTTGGTAAACTAAATTCAACATTTGATGCTATTGTGCTTTCAGAGAAGAATCAAAGAATTTGAATATTTTATTTAAATTGTGGCTACATTAAAGTGGCTACATTAAAGCTCCATATTATTTCTGCCTTGGTAACCAGATTACCAGCTTGGTAACCAGATTTATAGCTTCTTTTTTTTTTAATTAGGAGACCACACCGGCTCGAGCCCAATAAGCAACATTGGTAAGAAAAATAGCTTAAATATGCTTATGTTTTAAATAGATGCAATCCTAGATGTGAATATCCTAGTTAAATGCTCTTCTTCTGTGATAAGACTGTAAGAACTTTTAAGAACACCTTAAAAACCACCAAAAAAAAAATTATTTGGTTCGGTATCTATTGGTAATTATAAAGGCCATGAATAACATTTCTACATCGCTTTTATTGAGTTAATTTTTCAATTGAACTTGTTTTGGTGTTATTTAATTATTATTATTTTTTAGCTTATTCCAAACAGTATTACTACACTGTATAATAATGATAGCTGTAATATCTTTAAAATTTTTAAAAACAACATAATTTAATAAAACATTAAAATATTACCATCTATTAAAAAAATTCCTAAATCAGTTGAAACAAGTAGCGAGTTGTCCAATGAATCTCCACAATGTATTCTGTATGAAAAACTTGAAAGAACTGCATGAGGAGTCCATGGCTAAAAAATAGAAAATTAAATAAACATACCAAAATATCACATAAGTTTATTAAAAATTACTTAATTTATTAAAAATCTAACTGTATTTTTTAAAGCACGCAAGCCTCCCACATTGGCAACACTTGTTGGAGCAACACCTTGAAGAATCTTGTTTACTTTCAGTGCCTACAAAATTATTTATAAAAATTATTATAAAAAATATTTATAAATATTATTATAAAATTATTTATAAAAATATAAAAAATATAAAATTTTAATGTTGATTTAAATAACTCTTAGCTTTTTGTTTTTTACAACGATAAATTTTTAAAACTTCCTCAAAGTATTTTCTTAAAGAAACTAAAACAAAATACAACATGAATAAATTGTGCTAAACTGTTATAGAAGTCTTCATATCAACTCTTTTAACTGTTATAGAAGTCTTCATATTAACTCTTTTTAACTGTTACTGAAGTCTTCATATCAACTTTTTAATTATTACATAAGTCTTCTTATTAACTTGTTAACTATAACAGAAGTTTTTATATTAACTTGTTAACTGTTTCTTCATGTTAAAAAATAATACTTATACTAATGAATTTTCTTTATAACATTTAAATCAACTTCTTATGATAATTTTTAAATTACTAATTAGTATAAAAAACTAAACTTTTAACAAAATAACAAAACAATACTTAAATGAAAGCAACATATTTTTAATATTTAAAAACTATTTATTATTTTTAATACTTAAATATTATTTTAAAAAAAGTGCTTAAAAAATATAATGAAAATAACAAGGAAAAAAATAAATAATAAAAACAAGATAATGAAAGCAGATAATAAAACAGGTAATTTTGGCACCATTTTAATTTTTTAAAAATATGAACAAGTTTAAAAAAGTTATTTTGTAGCAGGATTAGTAAAAATAATTTTTTAATTTTCGCTGTCCAAACTTTATTAGAACAAAATTTTACTGATGATTGCTCATTTAAAGATTTAAAAAAAAACAACTGAAATTCTTAAAATGTGCTCACTGTAGAGTTTATATCAGGAAAATCTTCATTTGTACTTTACGCAAACCCAATGAATGAATATACGATGAATAAATCTAAAAACATTTGTAACATTCTTTAAGAAATTTTTCGGATTTAAAATTTGCATTTTACTTTTTCATTTTACAATTTGAACTTAAAACTCAAAATGTATTTAATTGTGTATCTAAAAACATTTGTAACATTCTTTAAGAAATTTTTCGGCTTTAAAATTTGCATTTTACTTTTTCATTTTACAATTTGAACTTAAAACTCAAAATGAATTTATTGTGTTAGAAAAATATTATAGAGAAAAGTTAGTATACCATTTTTCAATATTTTAAGATCTTATTATTACTTCTTTTTTCTTTTTTATTTCAATTTTTTATACTTGAAATAATTTAATGTTTTTACAGCTTTTATATATATATATATTTTTTTCTAATTTTTTACAGCATAAATTTTTATTTTATATGTTAACAGTTATTTTTTAAGAACATTAAATTTTAGTTTCATCTCAAAATTATCTCACCTAGGTTACTAATTTCAACATTAGTATTAAGAAATATCAGACAGGCATAAAATGACATAATAAAAAATGAGCACTTAAAAATATTTTTTTTACTATCAGCTGTAATAACTTCAAATGTTTAAAATCTAAACAAACAAATATTGTAAGAAGTTATTTTTGTTAGTACCTTTTTTTTATTATTTTCACTATTACCAAAGATAAATGTAAATATGATCATAAAATTCAAGTAAAACCAAAATTACCTGCTTTAGCCTACATAATTACAAGCAATTAAATTTGAAAACCATAAAATTCTTTTTTAGTTCTTATAAATATCTAAAGTTATGATATAACAAACAAAACAACAAAGTAAATATTTTAATCTATATATTGCTATCTATATATTGTTGCATTCACTTTATAAATTTCTTTCTTGAAAACCTTTAAAAACTTTTTAGCTTTTTGTTGTAACTCGTAACTAAGTAAAATACAAACTCATTGTAACTAAGAAAAATACAAATTAATTCGTAACTAAAAAAATACAAACTCGTTGTAACTAAGAAAAATACAAACTCGTTGTAACTAAGAAAAATACAAACTAATTTCAACCTGATCAGGTAATTTAACAATAAATAGTTTATCTTTTAGAAACTTTGCACAGTTAAAACGCTCTTTGAATGAATTATCATGGAAAAACTTGAATACCCAATTCAAAGTCATTCTCAATACAAAAATATTTAAAAAATACAAATACCCTTTAATAATTTAAAACTGGTTTAAAGTGCAAAAACTTTTTACACTGTTTTTTTGAGAGGAAAAATGCAATATCATTACAATCTTTAGCTTTTAGTTGCAGTGTAAACCAGTCAAGACAAAGATATTTAAAACCTTTTTGAAAGTAAAATAAGTAATGTTAAGCATAAAATAATTTTATTAACAAACCTGGCCAAACTCAAGAAACACTTTTCTTTTTTCAGGATTGTTTCGAATTTCATTGCAATTAATTGTATCGTCAGAAAACTTCATAAACTTCTGCGCACATCAAAATGTATATAAATATATAAATAAATTTACAATATAGAACTATTGTTGCAAGGATTTTTTTAAATACGGTTCTATCATAAATTCTGAGAGGTTCTTTTCGGCTCAAAGTTAATATTAAATTAATATATTATAATATTTAGTTTTCATCAAATTGTATAGACACTTTAATTAATCTAATTATAATATATTATAATAAATAACTCAATTAAAATAAATATTAATCTTTAGAATGAAATTTAATTGTGTAAAAATTGTTTTTTTTAGAACTTTGAGAGACTGTGAAATACCTCAGGCTTTGCTAATTTGTCATTTTGCAAACTGTTAATTAAACTTTCTAAAGTTCTTTGTCTTTTATTACTAAAAACTGGACTTGAGTATGCAGCTTTCTCCCCATTCATCACTAAAAAGTTAAATTATGTACCTTTATTAACGGTATGACTTAAGTAAGTATGACTTGGTATAATGCTATGAATTATGACTTAGCAAACATTTTTATCAAGAATACTATAAGTGATATTATGAAATATTCAAAATAAGTCTTGAATAGAGTTAATAATTATTAAATGATAATAATTTTTTAAATTAAATTTAAATTGATTCATTTAAGCTGAAAATGTCAATAGGTACAAGTATTTATAAAAAAAAAAAATAATAATAAACAAACGTAAAGCTAAATAAAACTTTATTAAAAATGAAATTTGAAAAATAACATTGATCTTACACTTTGTGAGAAGAAAAGATCGAAATTCTTGAGGATTATCAAAATATGGGGGAACGGGGAGAGGTGGACCAAACACAGGAACATTCTCTTCAGATAGCACTGATATCCTAAATAATATACAAATTAATTAATTTTTTTGAGTAAAAACAAAAACTAACAATAAACAATCTGTATTCTTTATAAATAATAGAAAAAAAAGTTTTTTATTGGAAAAAATAACTGGACTACTACTGATCATTAATTTGATTTTAGAAAAAAATTACACTTGAATTTATAAATTAAAAAAATTAATTAGTCCATGTAGGCAATCACAACATTTATTATATCTTAATCTAAAAATAATAAAAAATTACAACAAGAATTTTCGAAATATTTTTACAAACAAAAATTTAAGTGTAAATAGAAGCAATTTATTTATTTTTAATCAAAAATTTCTTAAAAATGAAAAAACATTAAATTATTCATATTTTTAAAAATATAAATCAAGAATTTTTTCAGGTGTTCAAAAAAAAAAGCTTTTATCTTTCATCTTCTCTTTTTTATTTCTTTGTCTAAAAAAACAATTTGAATTAAAAACTGTTACAGGTTTTCAATTCAAATTGTTATTGTTGCTAGGGTTATATTTAGTTAAAAATTTTAAATATTTTTACATGTTAACATATTTTTAAAAAGAAGCTATATTTAGTTGAATTTTCATTTAAATATAAACAATTTTTATTTTATTTAAGTTATCTTCTTTAGTCTTTCAGTGTATTTTATTTGAGTAAGTTATCTTCCTTAGTCTTTCAGTGTAGAACAATTACTTTAATGTTTTTTTTAAGTTGGAATGAACTGTTAATAAGCTATAAATATAAATATTTTTGGTCCTGCAATCTCCTGCAATCTCCTGTCTTTTTCAAATTCAGCTGCTTAAGCTCTTTTTATACAAACATATTCCTGAAATTTAGATAAGGTGGATAAAAATTTAGATAAGGTAGATAAAAATTCCCTATTACTTCTCTTTTGCACCCATTTTTTGATTTTATTTAAAGATGCTCAGAGTTGTTTTTGGTCCACTGTCTCAACACAGCCTTCTCTTCTGGATATATACTTTTGAGAAATTTTTTCTTTGTTTTTGCATCGCAGACAGTTTCCCAACCAACAAAACAAATTAGGTGACTGTGACCAACAGAGATTACCACCATGAACTATTTATACCTGATGCCTAATGCTTTAAGTAATAAGAAAAAGTTCTCATGCAGTTTGGCACTTACACTAGTTGGCAGGTGTTTCTTGTAAAAGAATTATACTTTCAGACCTTAGTTTATTAAATGTAAAGAAATGCATTACTTCCCCATAGGTTGATTGAAAAATTGAGTAAACCTCTCTCAAAAACATTGTCAAAAAATATTTTCTCATCTTTTTTCTTTTCATTTTCCCACACTGTTACTTCATCTTTTATACTGGGAATTGTGAAAGCAATGTCTGTTCTGTTATAAAAATCAATTGCTAACTTATTCTTTTCTTTAATATCACTTAATAACTTCTTTTCTTTTTCAATTTTATTATTAAAAATAAACTCAATATTATTTGCCAAACTTATATTTAGTTTGGCAAATAATTTGAACTTTTGGCAGTGCTCTCATTGATTTTGATAAAGCTTTTCCCGACATCTGACTAGATTGGTTGAATTATTTAATTGATCTTTTTTTTTTTGTTTACTAATTTGTTATAATAATTAAAATCCTTTTTAGTGCTGTTCATTTTTGCAACTATTCAATTTTATCAGATTCTCAATCTTTTTATTTTCTATAGCGCATATTTTTATAATGTGAAAAAGTAGTATTCTTTGTCAGCTTTTGGTTTTTTTTAAAGTTTTTCAATCTCTCAGCTCTAGACATTTTTATTTTCATTTAACCTAAACTAAAAACAGGAAACTATTAAAATTTACAAACAACCTTAAAGTTGTTTAATTTAAAAAAGCAAATTATGATTAAACAGCATATTTAATTTTTTGTTAAACAAATATTCTTTCTAATTCCTATGCTTTTTTACTGATAATTATCTATTATCCATCTTAACATTACTTGCTTCAATGCTGGTTTATAATTACTAATACTTGATCTTTTTTTTTATTTTTTCTACTACTTCTTAACTTTTTCTCAAACTAATATTATTTTTCATATCACTATTCTATTTCCAACTCTCAATATTATGAATATTGGTGTTTTATTATGGCTATTAGTATTATTATTATTAATAATAAAATTGTTATTTTAATTGTTAGTACTATTATTATTGTTTTGATTATTATTACCAGTAACTGGAGTTTTTTATTATTATTGCCTATTATTATTATTACTGATACTATCATTACTATGTTGTTACTTACAATATACTTTTCTTCTATTGTTATATCTTAATTAGGTATCTAAAAGTCTTGAATGTTAGATAGATGTATAAAAGTAAATTAAATAAATTTTGTTTTAATTCAAACTTCTTACTTTATTATTATTACATAAAGTTTTTCGTTTAAATATTGCACTGGTTACATTTTTTTTAGTTTTTCATTATGTTATTTACTTAAAATTAGTACTCGTACTATATGTAAATATTCCATGAAACGTAAAATCTATTTCAGAATACATTTGATTTGATGTAGTTTTGAATTCAACTCCCACCACGTCCCTGGCAGTACTGCGCTCAACTTTTTTATCTGCGCAGCGACCTTGTTCATCAAGGTTCATGTTTCGGAGTTATAGAGTTGAGAGAGGGTTTGTAATACAGTATTTTTGCTTTTGATTACCTTATATTTTACTATATGTGATTCAATATAAACAGGTGCAATTATGAGATTTTGTGAAACTGAAAATACTTGTTAAATAAGTATACAAAAAATAAAGTAAATAAAAATGCTTTCTTGATGAGAAGACCAACTGGTCTTCTTCAAAAATATATCTTTTTTTATTTTTTTCCTTTAATAATGATTATACTTTGCAACTTTATTATTTAATTGTAAAACTACTCTCTCTTAGTATTAAATCTTAGTATTAAAAAAGTGTTTAACGAGACAGGAAGAAAGTTACCAATAAGATTTTGTTTGGGCTGAGTATCTTACTAAAGCAAATACATGAGTGAACTTTGTTCTTATAGAAGATGGCTTGAAACACACATCTTCAGATGGTTCTCCATCAATAAACACAATTACAGCAATGTCATTACCAATATGACGTTTTCTTTCAACCTAAAAAGTTAAAAATTAAAAAAGAAAGAGTTAGTGAACAAATTAGAATCAAATTTTTTCCTAAAAAAAAATCACCTGCTGAGAGTCTTTAGAAAAAGGAAGCATTACAGAAACATGAAACATAACTTCATGACCTTCAAACATAGTATACAGTGAGTGAGTGCCAGTCATATTATCTAGATTTTAATTGAAAAAAAAACTATAATATTTCCTCTAAACTATATTTCTGAAAATTAAAAAACTAAAATGGTAGGTTGTATTCCACATAAGCTTAAATAACGTAGAAGTAACATGATACTATAAGAAAAAAAGTTCATTTAGCTAAAATTTCAGCTGTGAAAATAGAATATTCTGTGTTTTTAATATGCTTAAGGGTTAGTTCCATAATAGCAGTTGATGTATACAATACACATAGTTAGTTATAGAATATAGTCTTTATTGAACATACAAGCTCATCTGTATTTGGTAGATTCAAAGAAAACATACAAAAGTGTTTGGATAAAAAACATTATTATTTGGTCATAAAAACAAACTGCTTCAATAATATAAAAAAGGTTTGTTTTATAACAGAAAAGTACTGAAGCAAACAACATCCATAACACAACAAAAGTTTGGTTTGAATGGTATTAAAATATAATATAAATAAATATATTTAAAAAACATAAAAAATACTAATCCATAATTTAAATGTTAAATAACAAGTATTTAATAAAAACAATCTTTAAAAATCTTTTTAAAAAATTTACCTTTAACATCTAAGCCACCTCTGAATCTATTCCAACCTTGTAAAGTTATAACATCACCAAGTACATGAAGAAAGTTACTAAATTCCTCACTTCCACACTCTGCAATATGTTTAATTCAAAATAAAAAAAAGAAAGTTACTAAATTCCTCACTTCCATACTCTGTATTAATTTAAAATTAAAAAAGAATGAAAAAATCTGAAAATTTATGAATACCATTTCCAAACATTTCATCATCTGTAGCTTGACCTTGTTTTGCATATATTACACCAAATTTAAAATTCACAGAGCCCTAAAATGAATAAGAATATATATATATATATATATATATATATATATATATATATATATATATATATAAAACAATTGTAAGAAAATTAATTTAAAAAAAAGTTGTAAAATTAAGATAAAACCAGTAAGGTTGAAATAAGAGATAGAGAATTAATAGAAGGAATGTTATAATAAAAACAAAAATAAATCTGTGTAGCTACAACCATTACCTCCTGTTCTTCAAGTATTAAAAGTTCCTACAATAAAAAAATATTGTAAAAATATAGTATATGTATAGTATTATATTTAATAACTGCCAGTTTAAGCGAAGTTCGTTTTTAATTTACTTTTTTTTTATTAATTTAGTAAAAACAGTTGCAATATAAAGTAAACAAAAATATTAAAAATTATTTTTAATACTGTGGCACTTTATAAAACAATATTAAGTTAAGCAAAAATGTTAAAAACTTAATAACCCTTTTTCGACTGAACAAAATCTGGCTATATATCTAAACACGAAATACCAAGTTTTTGCCATGAACAATTGAATGACTATAAAATACAAAGTTTTGGTCATAATAAGCAAAAACATACTCTCATAGCAAAGCATAGTCCTGTTGTTTGTGATAAATTTCGAAACAACTTTCAGGATGTAATCCTGGTTTTGATGAGCAAAATTGACAGACATAAACAGTTTTTAGAAGAGAAAGAGAAGCAACATTACTTATATAGTAATATATAAGTAATGTTGCTTTTAGCCTTAACCTCTCCACTATCTATCAAATGTACGATAAAACCTATCAGTTATTACCTTTAACAAATCAGCAGTAGAACAAGAAGATTGAAATCCATATTGATCAAAAAAAGTATTATATTCAAGATGAGATTAAGTGTTTGTTAATTCTCTTAGGACTCAAAAACCTTGCTTAAGATAGTAAGAAGACTAATGGGCTAGTAGTTAGACAAGTCAGATTGCTCTTCACAATTTTTGAAAATAGGGATAACAGATGTCACTTTCCAGTAGGCTGAAAAATAAGACTCTGATAAGCACTTGTTAAATAGTTTTGAAAGTATAGACGACAGCTTTGGAGAACACTTCTGCAAGACTATAACAGGTATGTTGTCCGGGCCACAAGCTGTAGAAGAGTCTAAGCAGGAAATCACTTTAGATACAGAAGTTAGAGTGATAAGAATGTCAAGCAATGGATCAATCTGTTTGTTGGCTATATCAGTTAGGATGTGATTAGCGGAATCAAGAGATGATATTGATGAGAAGTTCTTAGCAAACAATTCAACTTTGTCTTTAGGTGAGGTAACAAAATCTGAATCATGCAAGAAAGGTGTAATAACAAATATCCTTTAATTATAGTCACTGTTGAAGATTCTCCAGAAGTCTTACAAACCTAATTTTTGAGATGAAATATGAGATTTTGTCACCTGAGAATAGACAGCTTTGGCATTAAACAAAACATTTTTACAATAGTTTCTAGCAATAGTAAACAGACGTCTGTTTTCTGGAATTTGATGTTAGGTATGGCAGTAATGATTACAATTGGAAATTGCAGCAGCACAATAAAAGGAAAACTATGGAGAAGAGTGAAGCTTGACTTGGAATTATTGAGAGGGAATAAATAATTCTATGCCAGCCTGAATCCGAAAAGCTACATGAGAAGCACAATTGTCAGCAGTAAGATAAAAGAGTTCTACTCATGGGCCATTAAGAATAAAATTACGAAAGATTCCCAGTTAGCTTTAAGGTAGTTGTAAGAGGTAAAATGATAGGGGAGTTATGATGATGAAGAAGAATGAGGTAATTTTAGAGAAATCAAACCGTGATTAGAAGCACTTAAGGGTAAGTGTGGAGAAACTGAGCACTAATTAGGATCAGACATAAAGTCAAGTAGAGAAGGTAAATAATTTGGAAAGGAAAGTGAGTTAAAAAGTATTATAACTGTTATATTAGTAACTATTTGCGTTAGAGAAAGGAAAAAATTGTGGACCTTGCAGAGTTACTGACACTAGAGCCAAACTATACAGAACAGAGAAAGAGTGAAGTGGTGCTAAATTTAAGAACATAAAAGAATAGTCTAAAGGTTCAAACTTAGTTTCACAACAAATAGGTGAATTCTTATGAATGTAAATGTTGAGGCCAAGCATATGATTAATGGAGTCTTTATGAAAGAAAGACAATCATCAACACTAAGATCACAAGATAAGACAGCTGAACTCAAATTTGTCTAACAAAGAACAAGTAGGTCTGGTAAACTTAGCAAGAGATAAGACTCAACAGAAGAAAAGTTACTTTGAAGACCATGAATATTAGTGAACGATATTAGAGAACTTGGTGATAATGATGGTTTTATGTATTTTATAGTTTTTGGTACTTTAGTCATTTTTGGATTTGTTAAAGAACTTGACTCAAAGCATAAATCAAAACTCTATTTAATAGTACACTAGTACACTCACTTAATAGTACACTAGTACACTCAGTACACTATTTAATAGTCCAAGCATTTGCCTCATTACTGTTATAAACCAAAGCCATAACAATAGGCTCCAAATGTGGCCTTGACAATGCACAATTAAAGTAAAAATAGGAACACTATCTATGCACAACTTGGCACCTTTAGTATTTTGATTCTTGACAGCTGTTGATGGTATCAGCTGAGAGCTACCACAGATTTCGGGAAACCTGACTACTAGCCGGCCTCAGAATCATAAAACTGAGTTTTAGAGCTGAACTCTTATTAGGAGATAATAAAATGAGTTGCCTAGTCATAAAAACAGAGACACAAGCAAAACCCATGCATTGAGTCAAAAAGATCCAGCGTTCAACATCCTAAATTGGAAACAATGTATTAAATACATCTGTGCCAGCCTAATAGGTAAAGAAATGGTGCAAAGCTGGTCAACAGATAGATTGGACAGTAGCCAAATATTTTTAATATCTGCCCAAGATGAGTATTTTTGTCAAACACTATCTCTACCCATTACTCAACCAAGAGTCATAAGGCAGGAGGTATGTTAAGTAAGAGTTGGCTAGCCTAGCCTTTTGCCTAAAAAAGTGTAGGAGAAGCCAACTTAAAAAAGTAGAGAAACTAAAAAAGTAAAACCCTACTGCTGGACATGAATCTCATTAAAAAAGAAATGGCTCTTTTTAAGCTAACAAAAGAAAACTAAAATTCTTTAAATTTTTAAGTACTTTTAAGATGATTTCCCAAACATATAAGAGACTTTCACAAAGATTAGTTTTTTTATAGTCTCGGATTGTTTACATTAGATGGATTAGTTATTTAAAAAACAAATTACAAATTTTGATATTATGCATTACTATTTGTTAAATAAAAAGATGTTAATCAAATATTTTTTCAAACTAAAATGTTATTTAAAAAAATAAATAAATAAATAAATACATTTATAAAATAAACTATTTTCAATTTGATATTGTGCATTGATTAGTAAAAAAGCAAAGATAAAAAACTAGTATGAACATGTTTAAGTTTAACCATTAAAATCAAAGTTCGAATTGGCAGCCCTAGTTAATAATAATGTTAACAAAACATTGATAATAAAATAATTAAAATTGATAACAAAAAACATCTTTAAGATAACTTCATAATTATTTGTGCATTTTAATTATTGTGTATCTCCATTTATTGAGAGTTTTGACCCTTGTACCTGCTTGCGTGAGTATTTTGACACTCATGCATGCATGCACTCAAGTTTTTTTGCTTGTTGTGTAGGTCTAACTAATTTGCTGCATACATACCTTACATACTTTACATACCTCAGAAAATCTACACATAATAAAATGTAGACCACATAAAGCATAACTATTGATGCTTTGCACATTTCATTTACATGACACAATATCAAACAAGATCAACAACAACTTGCATTTAACAGAGATTCCATTCCAAACTAAACAATACTATCAATGCACATAATTGATCATATTAACTTACTTTTTGAACTTCTGCTGATATAATTTCTCTTGGATTTTTTTCCAGTTTATCTTTCATAAAAAACCTTTAAAAAAAAAGTTATCTAAAATAGAGAAAGAATTTGAAAATATCATAATAACAAAAAAAATATAAATAATCTGCACACAAAATTTTCTTTTTTATCCAATTTATGGTGCATAAACTGAAAGTGCACTTTAGCAATAGAGTGTAGATACACTTTAAGAGTAGACTTAGGTTACACTTTAGTAATATATATCTAAACTTTTGTTCAGATATATTTTTACAATTAAATATAGACTTCAACTTGATTCTCTGCACAGCATTCTCAAAGGTGTTTCGGAGTTGTGAGAGAGTTTTAAAAACTATTTAAAAAAAGTTACCTCCTCAACTGCAGTGGCCACTCAGCCTTATGGAAATAAATATAGTAAAAAAAAAGTAATATTCACAAAATACTGTCAATAGCAAAAATTTAAACAAAAAAATAATTGCATAAATTAATCCCAACAAAAACAAAAATACTTAAAATTAAAAAAAGCATTTAGAAGATTTTTGTAACAATATTATGATCATGAAATATCAAAGATTAAACAAATTTTTTTAAATGGAAGTTTTTTTTAATTATTTATTTTAAATATTTAACAATAAGTAATTAATTTGTAACATTTATAATTAATTAATAACATTAACATTAATAACAATTAATAAATATTATTTTAAACAAAATTGTATAACAAAATAATACTTTTAAATGATAACTAAAACTTTTTTTTTTTTTTTTTGTTAATTCACCTCCTTAAGGCCAAGAAGGTCACTACAGTCGAGGAGGCTACTTATTTGTGGTTATAACCCTCTCTCAACTCTATGACTCTGAAACACGAGCCTTGACAAACAAGGCTGCTGCGCGGAGAAACGAATTGAGCGCGGTACTACCAGGGATGTGGTGGGGATCAAACTCGGAACCTCTTGCTTATGAAGCGAGTGCTCAAGCACTACATTACTACCGCAACTTGCTTTCAAACTAAAGTTTTACCTAAGCACATCTTTTACTGTGTACTTTTTCTGAGGGTCATAAGGAAATGTAATTCTTCTGCAACCCTAAATATACAAAATATGAATAAAAATTACAAAACAATTAACTAAAATTATACACAAAAAATTAAAGACAATTTATTTTATAAACTTATGATCTCCTTTAACCTTCAGCTTATAATCTCTACTTTAACAATAGATACAGTTTTGTCCTCCTCCCCCTGCCCTAACTATTTAATTAAAAAAAATCCTTTTTGCCATGCACTGTTTATTTTTAAACTTAATTTTATTTGCAATCAATGAAACTTAAAAAGCAAAATAACTAATGGTTTAAATATAACATATTTAAATGGTTTAAATAATAACATTCAAAAAAATATTTTTTTGAATAAAATTTTTCTAATATATCAACATTTATGAAAAAATATTTAAAAAATATAAAATAAATATTAAAATATTAAAAAAATATAAAATAAACATTAAAATATTAAAAAAATATAAAATAAATATTAAAATATTAAAAAAATATAAAATAAATATTAAAATATTAAAAAATATTTTAGTAAATGCAGGCCTTAATATGAAGAAAACTGTCCCGCGCGATGTTTCGCGCCTGTAAAACTCAAATAATTTTTTAGCGTGCAAAATTATGTGCACTCGTCATTAAATTATTGGGAGCAATCTTTTATTTTCGGATATGGGTGTTCCACACAATTTTAATAAGTTTTAATTTGTTATACAGCGTTCTTTAGACAATAAATATTTTAAAAGTATTATTTAGTAGTGCATTGCCTGACAAAACGTTTAAAATTCTTTCAAATTCCTAAATACTTATTATTTGATCGCATCTGATTGTGTTTTTTTTCCCACCTAGTTCTTAATGATCTTGTTTTAAAGAATAAATTTATCTTTTATGTATTTTCTTTTTTATTGTCTTCATCTTTAACTTATTACTACAGTCAATTTTTTTTTATTATTACATCAAATTTATTTGAAAGAAGTTCATAACCTTTCATTTTTATCATTGTTTCATTCGTTTAATTAAAATATAAATTCATAATGTTTTTGCATCATTAAAACATTAAAACAATTAAATAACGATTTCTTTTCATTAAAACATGTTTGATGTTTTTTCGTTGCTAACGCTAAAAGAACTTTTATAACTTTTTTAGCAAACGTTTTCACAAACTTTTTTGTTTAATTAAACAAGAATCTTTGAACTTTTCTTTTTCTCAAATGATAATTTTAATTAAGTTATAAATAATATAAGTTATAATTTTAATACCAAAAGCTTTTTAAATTTTGTTAAATTTTAGCCGTAAATATTTTATTTAAATAAGAACTTATAAAATTCTATAAAGATTTGTTAAAATTCTTTTATATCAACATTGAGCTATTAACTCAAAAGAACAATTAAAAAGTTTTAGTATTTTTGGGTTTAATTTAATATTTTTTCAAAATTAAATAAAAAAATTTTATTATTATACATACATGGTTTTTAGCAAATGCTTTTACAAAATTAAATTAACAATGATTCTCATAATTAATTTGTATTTATTACACAATTTAATATTAATAAACTTATATAAATAAATAAAATTTAATTTAATTTTGTTAAATGTTTGCTGTAAACGGCAATATATATATATATATATATATATATATATATATATATATATATATATATATATATATATATATATATATATATATATATATATATATATATATATATATATATATATATATAGCTGTAAATAAAAAAGAGGGTGGACTAAATACTAAGGACTCTTCCCCTATATCAAAAGTATAGGATTTTAACTCATCAAAGAAGTAACTATATGCTTCTCTATTGATAGTATAATCCATTTGCTTTAATAAAATTTCCATGATGATAAAAAAAGAAAATAAGGAGAAATTACGGAGAGCATTCAAATTTTAACTTTTTTAAAGGTTATTTAAGGACTTTTAAGGAGTTTTTTTTTTTAAGGTTATTTAAGGTTTTTAAGGAGGAGTGGGAACCCTGGTTTTACTTAGATATTGTACCATGATTTTCTATAAAACCTGTAATTCTTTGTCTTAAAGAGGAAAAAAAACAACCTTAAAAACTGCAGAAATGACTTGAGGCTACTTAGTCACTGAAAAAGCAACTATATAAAAGTAACTATAAAAAAAGTAACTATATAAAAGGGAACTCTAGAATTTTTTTTTTTTGTGTGTCAACTTTAAAGATAATAAAAATAACTTAAAAATGATAATTGAACATAAAATATAAACCAAACTTTAACACACTAATAATGACAAAATCTTTGTAGGCAATTACTTAATAAAAAAATAAAAATAAATCATTGTTACTTAAAAAGTAATTATTGTTATTTAAAAAGTAAATCGTTGTTATTTTAAAATATAAAGTATTAAAAATAGTACTTTTAAAACTTTATTTTAAAATATAAATAAATACTTAATAAAGACAATAATCTGAATATAAGTAATGCGGAGCTAGAGAACTAAACGGTAAAGCAATTAAAAGAATTAAAAAAAAAGACTGTTAAATGATTTTTTAAAATCTGGCTCCAAACCCCTGCTTATGCTTTTATTAATAAAACAATATTTACATTATATTACACTTTTTATAAAACAATAATACCTCTCTTACATTTACTTACCCACTTACGCCATAATATAGCTCTATATTGTGGTATACCTTGATTCTCTATGTCAGTCAAACATATTGATAAGGCATACGCATTATTACATGAATCTGTAAATACGTAGTTGCAATGAACTAAATAAAATTCATCTTATCAAAAATGAACTAAAGAAAAATGTATGAAACAAATTAAAGTAAAAAATTTATACTAGAAAAAAAAAACCTTGTCCAAGAAAGTACTTGAAATACCATCTCGTTTGGAACTCAGGATTTTCTAATTGTGCTAAGCATGGCGAACAAGCAATTGTTAATTGTGTTCCCTAAATATGATAAGATTACTTAGAAATTATGTAAAACAAAGAAACTTATTTCCATATTGTACACATCATTTGTACTTTCTACACTTGATAATAAAAAACCTGATATTTTTTATTTATGATTAAGTAAATATATAGAAATATAACTTTGAAAAAATTCTAAAGGCTTTTGACATGTTTATTTTAACAATTATATTAATTTGCATTAATACTTTAACATCCTATTATAACCTTCCAATAATTAAAGGAAAAGAGTGATTAATTGTTTATTAGTTTTATGGGTTTATCCAACACAAAGCTTATTAGATTCTTTGCACTATTTATTATATACTAGCTGATTTAACCCATAAAAATATGGGTCTTTACCAAACCTACCATTTTTATACTTATCTATTCTAAAATGATCATTTCTATACCTATTATTTGTTTACTTCATTATTTTTACGTAAAATAATTTGTTTTGAAAAATTCCTTTTAGAGCAAAAAAATTATTATGCACATCTTTTCTGCATACCTAGAGCTTATAAGAGATTTATAATTAGGTTTGTTTTTCCCCTAACACATCAATAATAGCTCAGTGGTTTAGTGCGCTGTCATCAGTGTCGTTTTGGAGGATTAAAGACTTACCATAATAAATTTTGAATATTTTTTAATCTTGCTGTATTTATAGCAATATTTATAGCAAAACTTTTATTAAAGTATATATATATATATATATATATATATATATATAATAATTATAGTTGCTTTAATTATTGCTTATATATTTTATTGTATATATCTATAATAATCATAGCAATATTTATAGCAAAAAAACTATAATATAGCAAACAAGTTTTCTAGTTGTTAAAATAAAATTTAAAAGTTTTCACATTTTTATAGATTTATTATACACAATTGTTCCATATACTGCCTGCAAACTCAACATATGCTAAAGACGGTTTCACTTACAGACATTTGTACGCAACGCTATACAAAAATGAGAACTAAGAAGATCTTAGACCATAAAAACATTAGACTAAAACGCTGAGGGATCATCCTTAAATTATGCAACGCTAAATTTATTTTTAAAAAAGAAAAAAGAGATCTTAAGTTCTTTAAAGTGGCGATTTTTGATTTTTGATTTAACTTACGACTCTGCAAGAAAAAACAAGAAAAAGAAATGCAAGAGAAATCATTTTTGGTTTGTTCATTAGTGAAATTTAGGGTTGCATAATTTATGGATAATCCCTAATCTAAAAGATAAGCCAAAAAAAAAAAGGAGTACAACACTATTTTGATGGTTGTCTAAATTCTGTCGTTTTTGCATACTCAGTTTAGAATGTTTAACAGGGGCGTGTTAAATTGGCTGTAATACTCTAAATTTCCCTATTATATCAATATTAAATAATTTTAAGTTTTAATTATTTTTAAAAATAATACATTTAATAAAATGGTTTAATATAAATATAAAATAAGAATTTTTAATTATGTTCTTATTAAAAACAAATTTTTTAAACCCCCTTACTGTTAAAAAAATTTAAGGTCGCCACATTGCAAGTTCAAATCATTGGCTTGCTTTTTTTTTTTTAATTTTTGTTATTTAAAATGTAAATCAAAACAACTTTACAGTTCTATATATTTTATGTTCTATATATAAACATGTTGTATACTCATTTTCCTCGCATAAACTCAACTTAGTTGTAAAAAAACTTGAAATGTAAAACTAAAATAACATAAGTATCTCAATCATGACATACACGCAACAAATTTGTTGAAAATTTAAAAAAAATATACCTTGGTATCTTCACAAGGCTCTACACGAAAACGACTTGCTTTTCTTAACTGTGAATTGGATGATTCATCAGGACTAACCTTTAAAAAAATATTTGATTACTTATTAAAAATTTTAAACCTGAATTAATGATTGATATAAATTTCAAACTCAAATTATAAAATTTAATGTGAGTGTCAAACTAAAACTTATGATTGGTTAATATGATTGATTTATAATTGGTTAATGATTGACTTATGATTGAGTAATGGGTCATTCCATATAAAATCATCCAGACCATGATACTGTTACGTTTCAGAATTTGTTCATTTTTACCTCACTTGCAGTCCATATTATAAAAACTGAGAAAATTTTAGTTAAAAATACACATGGGTTCCAACGATATTGTCAGTTAAAATAATGCTGACTTGGTATTTTAATGATTATCTGAAGCGACTACAAAGCAACTTTGACATATAGTATCTTCATAATGGCTTGGGGAAATTTCCTAAAATTTTGTACCATGCCTCATTTATCAAATTTGGTTCAAAATTCTTGACTTGTAAATTCATGGTTTTTGAAGGTAAAATGAAGACTGTGACCCTAAATTCAGAGTAAAAAAATTAATTGTATATCATTATTTTATCTTGGGTCTACTGAAATAAATTTGCATTTAAAAATTGTCTTTTTAGAAAAATTTAAATTTTGTAACAAAAGCAATTGAAATATTTTTTTTAAAACATTTATTTAAATAAAACATCAAATAGTGTTATTTATTGACTAGTTTAGGACAAGGGAGGGCCTGGGGGTCTCTGACAAACTCTGCCCCCCCCCCCTCTCCGCCAATCTACCTAGATTTTCTTTTTAAGTGCATAAAATGATACAATAATAAATAATTATTAAAATTCCATTTAAAAACATGTTTGTTTTTTTAAGTTTAAGTTTGAGAAACAATTTATTTTCATTATTTACCTCTTATTTCAAAGTAAGCACTCAAAACTAAGATTTTTCATGATTTTAAAAGTCATAAATTTTAAAACCAAAGATATTGAAATGTTTTTTAAAAAATTTTAACAACCAATATCATTATGGTATTATTTAGTAGATTAATACTAACAGGGCTCAATTTAACGGTTGGACATCGCCGCCCCTCAAAACATTCTTGAGACCTGCTAGAGGAGGGCAACAAACCATTGTTGATTTTTTCAGTAAAAATGAACAATGGTTGGTTGCCACCATAAATCAGATCTCAAAAACAGTCTAGGGAGCGGCCATGTCTGACCATAAAATTGAGCCCTGTACTGATATAGTCATTGACATAATAAGTTGGACATTGGGATTTATTTAAACCCTAAATTATTTTAAATATATATAATTTTTTTTTTTTTTTTTTTGCTTATATTCTCTAAAACATATATGTTGCATGTACAACCTGATATTGTTGTGGGTGTAGAAATTCGGCATATAACTTTAGAATTGAGCACCCAACACTTGTCATTTCTCATTGGCCAAAAGAAGTACTTACCTGGTCCATGTGAATGCATGAATCTGACTTTTATATCAAGTTCACTTCTTTTAAATCAAGTTCACATCTTCAGCAATCCCTACACACCAAAATCTGTCATAAAAACATGCAATATAATCCATTTTTTTAATGTTTAATGAAATCTCTTTATTATGTTTGCTTTTTGGAATGATATCAAATACTTCAATACATGTATCAATACTTGTTTTTTTATAACTTATAGTATTTGAAGCAATTGGAATAAAATGATGATATGTCCTTGTGCCAGAAACTGTTCTTCCACCTAAATGTCTTTATTCTAATTGTGCTCGTGTTTGGTCAATTTCATTTTTAAAAAATAATTAAAAACAAATTCCATTTATCTTAGCTTTACAAAAGGAGTACATTAAATTAATATCTAAAATCTGCTCAGTAGTTATTTGTTTTAGACTTTCTTGACATACTACTCTTTTAACAGTCCCACCAATACCATCACAAGGGGATTTACCATGACTGGTAGCAAAAAAAAAACCATTCAGCGTTTAAATCAAAGTCTTTACTTTACTTACTGTGATGACAAAGATTGATAAAGTTTTAAATTTTTAAATTGTGCTGCACAACCATCAGAAAAGTATTTGATACACTTTATACATCAGGTAGATTTTCTTTGATATATCTAGTTAAATCTTCCTGAGACTTGTAAATAAATCCTGTGTAAATAAACCAACATCTTCTGAAAGGTAACAAAAAGATTTATGTTTGAGAGCTTTTTTCTCTGTAAAATAAAGTATAATAATAAAAAGTGAACATTGACTTTTGCTCCAGTGATAACTTTGAACCTTATCCTGAGCAAACATATTGATAGTTTTCAGCAAAATCTTCTAAAATTATTCATTTTGGTTAAGATTTTCTTTACAGTTTTTCAAGTATCTATTTTGTGTTTTTGCAATATATGAATGAATGGTAAGATTGTCAATGTTGTCACATAATAAATCATTAAATTCATCTAGTGGCAATGATTGTAATAGTAGTGTTGTACGATTGGTACTCTGCCATTACTTGAATGCTACATCTTTATCAAGCTCATGGTCCATAAACTCCGGCACCAAAAAACTTTTTAATGCTTCAATACCAGGGCATTGGTTACATTGATGCAATACACATTCTGCATTTTCAAGCGAACAAACAATCAATGCCATGAAATCTTTTTAACTTTTATTCCACATAATAGCATCAATAAGAAATTTTGTAATTTGGTGATGTACGCATACACTTACATAATGAGTACCTGATGCATTAGTTGTAATGCATCATTTAGGTTTAAGAATACAAAACTTTGACAAACTTTCTTTAAAGTAAGGGTAGTCTTTTTTATATGCAACATGTAGTTAATTAAGATTGAGTAACAATAATTTTTTTTGAACATGTTTAACACTTACAAAATCTTTTTTTACTGGCATCATTCTCAAAAATTCATCACTTTGATAAAAGTTAATCACTAAATTAACTACTTCTAGTGAAAGTGGGATCCAATTATTTTTTCCAGTTTGAATAAGATACTTACACACTTCAAAGTAGCTTGATATCTTTGTACGTGTCCATGATTTTGGTGCGAGTGTTAACATTTGTACCTTATGACGATAAGAGTCATAGATAAGAGTCTTTTTTTTTATTTCATAAATTAAAATGCCTAGATCATGGTCATTGTTAATGTTGTTGTTTGAAATGGGGCTTTTTATTTCTGTTGTTAAAGAAGTTTCTTTAATGTTATATGCTAATGAGACCATTTTTCAACTCTGTCAATAGTGTTCTCAAACTTTTGTTTTGCTGCAGACAATTTGGTGTGCTTTGAAAGACTTTTTAGTTTGACTGGTGAAATTCCAAGCAATTCTATAGTGGTATCTAACTTAATTTTTTTCTCACTTTTTGATCCCCATTCCTCCTGTGAATTTAAATCTTCATCTATTTCTACTGCTTTTTTGTAATATTTACTGCAGAACTTCCAACCTGGGGTTACATAAACATTATTTTATAGCAAATAACTCGCCAAGTCTGGGGAAATCTTTATATTACCTAAAAAAGAAATTTAGTTTTAAGTTTTTAAAATAACTGAAAATAGAAAATTTTTTATAAATAATAAAATATTTTTCTTTTAATTTCCATATCAATTCTGTTGTAGTTAATGTTAGATTACCTTTTATAGCATTTTTTTTACTTTCCTTGGGTGTTCCAAAAGGATTGCAACACTATGTAACTTTTCTCTCAAAATATTTTCCATAGAATTGCTCATGATAACAACATGTTATCCATATTAAATATGTTTATTATTTATAATATTACCTGCCAAAAAAAATACATAAGCAATAAAACTCACAATCATTCTTTAAGAAAATACAAACAAGTAAAGTACAACCTTTAAAAATAACAAAACAAAATATTTGCTTGTTTTTGATATAATAAGAGGTAAGCATTCACCAATTTGAATTGAAATAATGAAAAAAAATTGTTTCTCAAACTTAAAATTAAAAAAAATTCTGTTTTTAAATTGAATTTTAATAATTATTTATTATTATATCATTTTAATGCATTAAAAAAAAAATTCTAGGGAGATTGAGGGGAGGGGCAGAGTTATTCAGAGGCCCTTTGGCCCTTCCTTGGCCTATGATTATAAACGTCCTAAACTAGTCAATAAATAACACTATTTGATGTTTTATTCAAACAACTGTTTTAAAAAACACTTTAATTGCTTTCGTTACAAATTTTAAATTTTTCTATAAAGACTTTTTTAAACGCAAATTTTGATCAAGTATTAGAGAGACAATTGATAAATCTGATTGTTTTCAGTAGACCTAAGATAAAATAATGATATACAAACTTTTTATTAGGGATTTTGAGCCACAGTCTTCATTTTACCTCCAAAAATCGTGAATTTACAAGTCAATAATTTTAAGTGAATTACAAGTCAATAAACGAGGCATTTTCTGAGACAATCAAGCCTTGAGGATGCTATTTTCGGATTCCACAAGTAAAAATCTATTGAGATACCAAATTTTAGAAAATTTCCATAAGCCATTATGAAGATACTATATGCCAAAGTTGCTTTGTATTCGCTTCAGATAATCACTAAAATGATGAGTCAGCATTATTTTGCATAAGTTCAAGAGATATCTGACGATATCTCTGCAACCCAAGCAGGCCTTCGCCTTTTTAACAACTTAACCATGGTTCTTTGCAAGTTTTGATAATTAGCGTGTTAAAAAATGTGTTAAAAAAACAAAGCAAATTTAAATTAAAAAAAATAATCCATAAACTTTGAAATTTTTCCACACATATGGCGTGGAAAAATTTCAAAGTACCTCATAGAACTATCAAACAAAGTAAAACATTTTGAGGATAAAGAGTTTTAAGTATATTTGCGGAATTAGGAGATTTCCAAGAAGAAACTCATCTATGGATAAAACAGATCCAACTACATTTATAATGTTTTTGGACCTTGTCTAGAAGAGAAAAAGTATCATTAGAAGAACCAGACTAAATATGACAACAGTATATACTAAAAAATAACAATTATAGTATATACTAAAAAATAACAATATA